TTCATTCCTTATTTCCTCCTTTTCTTTCTTCCTTCCCTTCTTTTCTTCTTACAATGTCTTTCTCCTACTTTCTTGCTTTCCTCTTCCTTCTTTCTTTTATTCTCTAAAAACGTTTTCTGACTACACATTCCCCATCAGTCCTTCTACTAGGTTCTGGAAGTGCACGGACATAATAATATTTGACCCTACCCCTGAGGAGCTCTCAACTCAGTGAGGACATTTGTGCATGAGATGGGATGAGTCAATGACAATTAATGACAATAGAATGTATTAATTACTATAAAAGCACAGAAATTACTAGGAAAGCAGAGGAAAGAGCCATTCATTTCTATCTGACCTGTTTTGGAGGAAAGTTAGCTGAGGAGCTGCCATTTTTTCAATTTAGTTACTCACTCTGTTTCTTATACTCCGGAGAAAAGGTTATATGTCTCTAAGTCTGGTTGGAAAAAGAGAAGGTTTGCCTTTTGTTTTAATTTCTGCTTATGACTCAGGGCCTGAGGCTTTGAATTTTTATTTATTTTATTTATTGATTGATTTTTTTTTCTTTATGGATAGTGCTTTTGCTGTTGTATCTAAGAACGTTGTGTTTAACTCAATGTTGCAAAGGTTTTCTCCTACATTTTCTTTTAGAAATTTTATAATTTTACAATTACTTTTATATTTAGGTCTATGATTCAATTTTGAGTTAATTTTTGTATGTAATATGTATTGAGGTTCATTTTTTTACATATAGACATCCTGTTATTTCAGTATGGAGAGGATTATTCCTTCTTTATTGAATTGTCTTTTCACCTTTGTCAAAAGTAAGTTGAGGGGCAGCCGATGAGCTCAGTTGGTTAGAGTGCAGTGCTTATAACACCAAGGTTGCCGGTTCGATCCCCATGCCCGCCACAACTTGATTGAAACAAGTACTTCACTTTGAGCTGATAAGTTCTAGAAAAAACACACTGTACCCCAATAAAAAAAAAAAGAAAAAGTTAAAAAAAACAAGTAAGTTGACTATATTTGTGTGGGCCTATTGGTGGATTCTTTGTGAGGAGTATTTTTATGTGCAATATGTTATCTCACACATTCTTTCTCTGTGTCTCTCTCTCTCAAAATAAGTGCATTCTTACTGTGTAAATAGAACCCTATGGGTGAACAAGAGTCACTACTGGACTAGGCAAAAGAAAAGAAGTTTTGGCAAAGCTCGATTAGAATTAACTTTGCCAGTGATAGCCGTGTGACTTGTGCGTTTAGGACTTTTTGATCTTGGGGAAATGCAGGTGATACCCAATAAGAAGTGTCATTAAGATTAATGAGAATAGATTCACATGATGTTGGGAGGGGGTGGATTGGGGGAGGGACGTTGTCATTTTGTGAGGAGTGAAAAGTATAACTATTGCATTGTTTTGTACACCTGACACTAATGAAAAAAACTGTCAAAAAAAAAAAAGATTAATGAGGGCCAAGACTGGGAGTGGAACTGGGATGTGCCTCATCAGTATCCAGATATTTGTGTAATTCCTCCTGTCCCATTTTATGCTGGAAACATTTAGGGGATGGTGGCAGCAGTAATATCTATGAAAATAAGCGTATTGTTAAATTATAGGCACTTTAAAGCAACGTCTGTTTTCTCTGGTAAAAAAGAAGCACTTCCCTTGTTTATTTCCTGTTGCATCAGGTCAAAGACAAGAAGTACTCAAGATGTGTTCACTGCCTTAGTCCCCGTTGCATGCTTTCGGCTCCCCTGTACCAATAGAATTATTCTTTTACAATGTTGGAATGGAAAGCATGCAAAATGGTGTCTTCGTATTGCTTAAATGCTTTCCACCCATGCCACTCATTTCTAATTTTTCATGGCCTTAAACCACCATCTGCTGGAAGGGTGGGAAGGACACTTCCAAGGTTGTCATGTCCTGCCCTCCAGCTTGAGGCCTGGCTGCGCTTGGGCCACCAAGTGAGAAGCCGTTTTGTCTTTTCTCTGAAAGGTTTTCAGAGCTTATTTCCCATATTTGGAGGCTTCCTCTTCGGGGCAGGCCCCGCTCTTCCCACCAAGGGCTGTACTCCTTGTTGATGGGCCAGGAGCCAAATGCTCTGGCAAGTTTGCACCATGGTAATCATTTTGTGTCTTTGACCAACTTTGCTTTCTTTTCTTTTCTAAATCAGTCAAACATTTCAAGTTCCAAACACTGACACGGGAGACAGCTTGTGATTAACCTCTCTCCACTCTAAGAAATAGCCTGCGCCTGTGATGCTTCCTTCTGAAATAGCTTAACCCATTTTTAATACACCAAAAAGACTGTTGCCCATAGCCCTCTGGTCATCTATTTTCCTTAATAGCCTTTTATGAGGGACCTTATCAAACGCTTGCAAGGAAATCCAAGTAAATTATGTTCCTTGGTTCACCTTTACCTACTATTTCATTAACTTTTTCAAAAACAATATAACATAGTTTTCAACATAATTAAAGGGGTTGGGAAAAAGGGAACGTTAACGACCGCTTGACAGTGTCCGTAGCTGCTTAGGGGAGCTGGGTCACTGCTCGTATTCTGGCTGTGCTTAAAGGATACTAATTCATTTCCCAGGCTGTCTGGTGAGGTCAGCTGCTAGTTCAAGGTGGAAATGACAAGTTTTTAGGCTTTCAAGTGTACAGTACCCAGCTCTCCAGAGAGCATGAAGGAAGGAAGCCACAAGTTTATCCAGGTCTGGCCCAGAGAAAGAGGAAATGATGGGAAAAACCAAGATGCAGGAGGGGGGCGGTGTCTCTGTGGAGGGGAGGACCGTCTCAGACACGCCCAAACAACTCTTTGTTGCTGGTTTTTTGAATGACAAAAGGAGGGGCTGATCGTAGAACTGGGGAAAACTTCCAGTGTTCCAAGGGAGATATGGAAGGCCTGGGTGCAGAGGCTAGGAGAACAAGAAGGAAAGAATTACAAATTAAATAAGCTCACATGAGTAGGAGTAGCAGCATTTTAAAAAAAGTGATTCTAATCATAATAATAATTGCACGTGCATTTATGGGGTGTCTCTTATGTGCAAGTGTGTGCTAGGCACGTGTACACGCCTATCTCATTTAAGCTTAATAAACTGGGGATATCATTAGATATCATTATCCTCAATTTATAAATGAGGAAAATAAGGCACCGAGAGTTTAAAGGATCTGAAGGTCACACAGTTAATAAATTATCAGATTTGGGAGGCAACCTCCTCCTATTAATTCTGAAGTACATGGATTTTCATGATGCTAGCTAGACAATTCTTAGTCCCTTTAGTACCAAATTCTCCCATACGTCAAATAGTCTGATAAACTAAAAGTAATAAACATTCTAAATATGAATTACTAGGTTGCATAAAATTAGTATCATTACGCAATGGTTTTCGTTTTTGTTTTTTTTTTAAAAGACAGACACTAATTAATTTGTATTAACAATTCACAAAAGCATTTAAGGGTTACAGTCCTCAAAACATCTTTATGAATCTCCATTTTCACTGGTCTGAGAATTTGGAAGCCATGCTTGTTTACAAAAGACTTCGGCTGACAAAATGCTCGTAAAATTGGCTTTTACTAGAGAAAGGAACTAGTAAGGAAAAGCAGAAAAGCTTCCATTTCTTTCTGGCTTACTTCTTGTTCTCCGCTGGCTCCATGCCTATTTTTCCTTATGTCCTCAGAAGTGGGCCATTTTTAGTCTCTTCAGAAAGCCCACCATAATTGTCCTACCACATGCTTCGTGTATCAGAGGATGTGATGTCTGCATATTAGAAAACATTTGTGTAAGTGTCTTTTGAGGACCTGTATCTTCACCCAGGTGCTCCTTCAGGTTACTGTGTTCCAGCGATCATGACACCTTACCTCTGGCTCAAGCATGCTTCTTGTGAAATATCCAGTGTCGAAGAGAACAAGCAGCTACCTGAAGGCACTTGGGCCAGGCCAGGTAGCTCAGCTCAGAGTCTCCCCTCTCCTGATTTGTCGAGACAATGGCCCTTCAGACCAGGAGCATGAGAAGCTGAGGAACCAGAAAAGCAACTTGGGCTTTTCCTCAAAGAATGAATGTGCTAATTGGAGAGACTGCAAATGTGGTAGCCAGAGAGAAAAATCAATCTTTTAATCTAGCATCAAAACTGGGAACTTGGGTGAGAAAGAACAAGTCTCCTGTCAGGAGGGGAGATAACCTAGGCCTGCTGGTCCTTGCTAAAGTCAAATAAAGTCCAAGGTTGGCAGTTATGAAAAACTGTTTCAGTGTTCATTTCCTGAGAACAGGAGGAATCAGCACTGTATGTTCATCAGGTGTGTGGTCTTTAGGCAGATCCCTTTGTGCCATGCTGGGCAGAGGTACAGAGACCCTGGGCCATGCAGGGCAGCAGAAAAGGTCCTACCAAGGTCACGCAGCTGTGTTGCAATTCTAGCTCTGGCAGTGTCTAGCTTCAGTGATCTTGGACAAGTAGACTTTGATTTATTACTCAGAGTTGCAGTTTCCTCATCTGTAACATAGGAACAATGCCTGACTTATCTGGTGGTTTAAGGAATATGTGAGATAGTATAGGTAAGGTGCCTGAAAACACAGCAAATGGTTTATTTTCCCCTAATTTTTGATGCGTTATCTTTTTAAATACCAACTATAGATTCATAGCACAACTATGTGTACTTTTTCTATGTTTTCTATATCCTCTCCATTGGTGGTAAAGAAATTACATTTCTTAGATGAAAATGTAATGACTGAATTTTTCTCCTCCAATTGAACTTATGATATGAAAATCTTTTTTTATAACTTAATAATAGACGAAAAGCCTTACAAAGCTGTACAATTTAGATGACATGTATATTTCTATCCAATCTGCTGTCTACCATTTAAAGTGAGGATAGGGCCTCTGGGCATGTTGGCAAGTGACTTTGCATCATTAATACAACCTGGGGTGAAAAATCACATGCACTACATTAAGCTGAGTGAAAAGCATGGAGCGTGTTATATTTTTTATGTAATTTCTCATTGTGCTCTGTCCTTTTTGTCTCTCTGTTACAGGGAAGTTGAAGAGAACTGGATGGAACTTAAGCCTGACAAGTCCTGGCAGTCCTTTCTGTAGACAGCAGCCTCTTGGAGGTAAATGCCTGGTTTTCCAGGGGTCTCCTCTCTCCCTCCAGCTATCAACCAGAGGGCATCCGGGCTTGGGAGGAATCGTATGTACCCTCATGGTGGTTGGGGACAGGACCTTGGCTTCTTACTTCTGGTTCCTTGCTGGCCTTTGCTGCACGAAGGTCCCGGTCTATTCCCTGGGTCCCCTGAGCTGGTGACCACAGGGAAGTGGCTCCTTCATCTGGCCTCTTTGGGTTTGTGTTTAACCTGCCCGTGGTCCTGGTTATTTGCCTCTGGTGGCAGAGTCCTTGCACTCTGTGACCATCCTGTTCCAACTGCAGGCCCCTGCATGTCCCCTGGGCACTCAGTATAACCGTATCCTCCCACAGGGGTATATAGAAACTTCTGGATTCCATATGTACCGAGTGCAGGCCTTGGGAAGCCAGAAGCTCTATCTAAGGCACAAAAACAACTACCGTGGCCAAGTTATCCTACCTGGCAAACCTACCTGGCAATGATGTCATATTGTTGAGGTTTCAACACAAATGAAGGCTCCTGGAGGGATGGGGAGGTTGGGACTGAAATTGTCCTGGTATGTTCACAAGAAAGCGAGGGCCAAGCTCTACTGCTCTGAGGAATTCCTAGAGTGGGTAGTGTGAGAGGTCAGGGACACACAGAATTAGCTAGTTTCCTTTTTCCTTGCTTTTTCCATTTCTGCCTCCTCCCAGTTCCAAAACAACTTTCAAACTTCCCTCCAGACAGCTGACAATGCCCCTTCTGTCATATTCTAAATTCTCTATACCCATCAAGTTCAACAGTGTCATTCAAAGTATTGCTTTGCTTATACAGAGGGAGCTTTTGAAATTTAGAAGTTTCTTTTCTTCAAAGCTTATTGTTCAAGATTATCATTTTATTAAGCATTCCAAAATTACTAATTTGATAGTAAATGTTGAGCAGTGATTAATTTTTTTCTACCTGGTATGTAAAGATGGAGAAACATTGATTTGATGGATGGAAACTATAGGAATAATGACTTAAACAAAAAGGCAGGTTATATATCTCTTTAACTTAAAAAATGGGATCTGTTAGGTATGGTTCGGAGATTATCCCGTTTTAGTTATCTGTGGTCATTCAGCTACTTAAGTGAAGCCTAAAGGTAGCACTGGGGAAGGAAGGCGCTTTGCTAAAGGGCGCATCAAAGCTATAATCAAGTTACCAGCTTGTGCCGAGGCTGGGAAAGTGGCACTTCGACAATTCCCATGCTGAATCTTCCAAAGGTGGGATTTTCCTGGGCTGTCTTCCTTTTCTGGTCACTATATCTCCTCATTAGAAGCATCTACCAATTTCCTTCCTAGTGGATTCAATAAGCTCATTGTTAAGAATTGATTAGTGTCTCATTGCCTCTTTTCTTTAGGAGGTGACCTTCTACTCACCTTGCTTGATTCGAGGACTACAAGAAGCTGCAATTTGGCTGAGCAGAACTTTTTCAGAACTTTATTGAATCCACTTAACAAATATTTATCAGGTTTCTACTATGTGCCAAGTACTGTTCTAGGTACTTGGCATGTTTCTATTGTAGTACCACATATAGAAGAGGAGAAAAACAGAACATTTGAGGAGAGGGAAAAATAGAACAGGGATGATTGCTTTGGGAAAGCACCAGACACACCATCCATCATCAAAATCATACAAAAAAAATGCATTTCTTTATTTTCCTCTTTGTATAAAAAAATGCAGTTAATGGAATCTGTTATAACTCTGTCCATATCAGTACCCTCTGGAAACTTGGTGATTTATCAGGGGCTCAGATATTGCCTGTTTTAATTCATAAAATGATGTGTCATTTTACTAAGCATGAATTTGCAGCACTGGTGATCAAGTTCATTTATCTTGGATTGCCCTCCTCTCCAGCCTGACCAGTCTCCTCAGTGTTTTCTACTTTACCAAACTTTATGCTGTGACATTTCCCTTCCACTGACTATCTATAACCTGGCATCCTCCAAACTCATGGAGTCCCCTTCATGGAACCTTCTTTGACTCTTCCAGCCAATGCCGTCATGAATTCTCTATCTGAGTTCCTGTCACATTTCTAGTTGGCCTCATATAGTTGGCCTCAAAACTAGATTGGGGGCAGGGTCTGTGTCTTAAATTTCTTTGTACCTTCCATAATGCCTAGAAAAATTATAGGCCTGTTTTAGGCCTAAATAAATAAATAGCTAGGTAGGTAGGTAGGTGTATACTTATTGAGCATACTTAGGGATGATATTAAAATAGTTAGTACCTACTACAGCATGAACACTGACCGTTGTGAATACTCCTACCAATGTGAATATATACAGAAGGTGCCAAAACATATATACACATTTAGGAAAGAAAAACTAAATTAAAACTGTAATCTTTAATATATAACAATAACAAAAGATGAATACAAGACATGTTTGGCTTCTGCAATTATAAGATGTGCTCAAAGTGGTTGCCATCAGTACCCAGACACTTCTGATTACGGAGAGCTACTGCTTGAGCAATATTAACCAAAGTGTCCGCTTGTATACATTATTTTTGGCACCCTGGTATATGTCAGATGCTCACAATATCACACAGAGTAGATATCCTCTGCTTTGTAGATGAGAGATGAGGGAGCTGAGTTTCAGAGTTCACATGACTTGCTCAGGACATGGAAGACTACTAATGAAAGACCCTGGATCTGTTTTACTCAAAACTTGTGCTCTTTCCACTGCACTACTACACTAATTACTACTTGTTGTTGGATCAGGTCCTCTGCCCCCTTGTGTTAAGGTGTGCCTTTCAAAGGAGAGGGCATTGGGTAACTGGTGAGTCTTACTACATGGATAATCAGCTGACTTAGACTAAGCCATCCCCATTGTGGGACCTGCGTGGTCATGATTAACTGTAATTTATGGGCAATTTACACACTCATTTACCTGTGTTAGAAAGATTTGGTTAGAGATGGTTATTTTTCAAAGCCAAAGGTCTGGTAGCTTGTTGGATGATTCACCATGGGTCCCTTGAAACCTCTCAGTGTTTCAATCTGTTTTTTAAGTGGGAAAACCCTGAAATTTCTCTTACATAATTTTAAAGTACTTTGAACTTGCATTTTTAATATAAAAATAAGATGTCATTATTGTCCAAGCATCTAGTTGGTGACTGAGAAAAGAAAGATAATCTCTTCTCAGTTTGATCAGTTATCAGCAAGGAGTCAAGCAAATGACACATTCTAATACAGGATAGAGAGCTATAAGCTCATCAACCCCACTTCCTGTTCCTGAGCATATGTGAACATTTCATAGTCTCATTGTTAGATTGGGGTCATGTGACAAGGTTTTGACCAAAAAAATTAGGACAGAAGGATATAAGCCACTTCTAGTCCTGCCCCTTAAAGACATCTTAAACAATATTTCAGTTTTTGCTGCCCCTTCCACAGTGACTTAAGGTGCCACTGGTTTATGATTTCAGCATCACAAAATAATGGAAGGAATTTGGGTTCCTGAGTCACCACCTGGAAGAGAGCCTCCAAGGACAGCTGCCAGACTTGCATCGGATAGCAATGTGAGGGAGAAGTGAACCTATGTGTGAGATTACTGAGACTGTTATTACAGCAACTGGTATTTATTGCTCTAATACAGAAATTGGTATCACAAATGGGATATTGGCATAACCAAGTCGTACTCCCTGACTGTTACACTCTCCTAAATATGTATCATTACTCTAGTAATGCAGCTGTAGGCAGAAAGGAAACTCATACCAGAAAATGGAAAGATGGACACTCGGGTTATGCAGTGAAAAATCATTTGGTATAACTATCGCCTGCTATTAATTAGAAGGCAGTCATATGCATAGTTTATATCTTTAGGGGAAATGGTTAGAAACAGGATTTTAGCAGTGTTTTTGGCTAAACTTAATATGTATTACAAGGAAGAGATAACTCAGGAAAGAATCCACGAGCTTGCAAGCAGAAATAAAATAGAATAGAGAGCCCAGCAATTTGAGCTGTAGGATCGAAAATCATAAATTCATTATAGACTCAGTAAGACATGGTACCAAAAAAGGGCTTTAAGTGACAAATATGCAGTAAAAGTTCTCAGTGGGATGCAGTTATTTGAGGCAAAAATCAAAGTAGGGGTATGGCCTTCCCACTATTGCTTCTGATAGCCTCAGTGTATTTAGCAAAGAGAGTGAAAGGCATGGAGGTAAAGAGGCAAAGAAAAAGGGTAGATTTGATAACAATGTCTAGAAAATAACTCTGGGTGTGGCTACTGTCATATGGACCTGACTCGAAGAAATGTATCATAAGTCATCTACATTTTTGAGAATCACATTGCCAAAGAAACCAGGAGCTTGGACTTGAAAAGTCCTTGCTTGTTCAAGGCTTAAAACAATTCTTGACTTCCCAACCCATTCTAGACTGAGGAGAAGCCAAACTCTTAGAGCTGCTCTGTTCTGAAGGAAGAACGTTCTCTGAAACCGACTTCGTATGTGGCCATAGAGAAGAACAAGTAAGGGAGTCGGTCCTAGAGCTAACTTCGCACACATTCACCATGCCCAGAGCCAGAGGGTATGGGTTTCACAGTGCTGACCCTGAGGGGCGTCTGCCTGGCTGTGGACCATGATGCTCCATGTTGTCTATGATGTTTCCTGGCAAATGGGATTATTTTCCTGTCCTTTCCCCACCATTATGAATGAGTGTTGGTGGGGAAGCAGAGTGCAGATAACTTGTCTTTTTAATATGTGGGCTGCCACACCTAGAGGAACCACATCAGGCTGGTGGAGAAGATGGCGCATCACCCGGATATTCTGGACATTGACCTGGAAGTGGTGCCTGGATGGGACTTTGCATTGTCTTCTTGGGTGAGGTGAGTTTGCTATGTGAATGAGAGGAAGAGTAAAATAGATATTTGGTGTCCAGAAGGGCAGACGATGGCAAGAAACTTTTAGTGTTCACCATGTTTGAGTCTCTTCTTGGACACACAGGAAGATTACATCTCCTAGGCCTCTCTGCAGTTAGATGGGCCATGTGATCCTGAGTTCTGGCCAATGGAACATGAGTAGAAGTGATGGCTGTTACTTTGAAGCCAAATGTATTAAACCTGGTATGTCTTCTCTACATTTTCTGCCATCTGAATAGCTGGAAGCAAAGGACTCCAAGATGGATGAGCCACATGATGGAAGGAGCCCAACCTACACCAGATGTCCATGAGTAAGTAATAGCCTTGAATTGGGTTATAGTACTTATATTTGGAAATTGTATTTTATAGCAGCCTGCATTGATGACCTTGATTACTATACTCTTCTAAACTGAAAACTAGTTCTAAAGGCTGAAAAAGCTCTTTATTTCTCTTGAAAGGAGTGAATGTACCCTCCTACCCCATCATCCTCATTGTCACCATCATCTTCATCACATTTGGTTCCAAAAATACTTTTTGAGTGTCTATAACGTGTCAAACACTGAAGCAGAAATTGGAATTAAAAAAGGAATAAAACATTGTTTCTGGCCTTGTCCATTATATGGTGGGAGAAACATATAGATAAACAAATAATGACATTATAAATTATATCCTAAGTGTAACACCATTAACATGTGACATAGTTCATTCTGTTTCAGGGTGGGGAGGCAGTGATAGGTATAGATCTCACACAGGGGGTTACCTGTGTATCAGGTTCTGAAGGATGAAGTGGGATTTTCTAGGCAAATAGGTCAGGTGAAAGGATTCTCAGTAGAGGAAACAGTGTGAAAACAGCAGATATGAAAGTCAGGAAAATGAAATTGAGTTCTACAGTTGGAGATGAAAAACATATTTATCACTCTCATCATTATCATCAACTTTGTCATCCTATCATCGGAATTACTTATTAATTTCCATACAGAGTGACCACATGGATTTCCTTACTGTTCAGAGGATCTCAGTTCAAGGGAATATAGGTAGCCGATTAAACACTTATCGGGTGAATTAAGCTCTGTAATTCACATTGATATGGGCCAAGTCACTTAGCTTGTCTTTATCTCACTAGTACTGTTGTACTGAAGAAAGAACTCACATTTATCCTTTCCGACTTATAAAATTGTTAGGCAAATCCAGTGACTAAAATACGTGCAACTTGATTTGGAAAAAGTATATAAATAACGTAGCATGTATGTTTATATTTTTAAAAGACAGTTAACGAAGGAGGATTGGGGTGGTATGGGCCAGAGTCATGGCAGTTTGTATGCCATCACATATTTTACTTCTTTCTGGAGGTAGTTGACTGGCGTCCTCACACCGAACCCTACCTGTGGGCTGCAGCACACTTGAGGTTACACCTGGAGGGAGAGCCACTTTGAGAGACTGGGCACACTGACATAGAGGTCCATGTGTCAGGTTGAACCTGGTGGAGGTGTTTGCTCATTGTACATGAAACCAGTACAAGCCAGAGCAGGATCAGGGTTTAAGGGGGAAATAAACATTTTAGTCGAGGGTGGCAGGTTTGGTGTGTGTGTGGGGGGGTGAATGGGTAAGGCTGCAAAGGGAGAAATGAATCATCAGATCTGAAGCCAAGAGGATGAGGAACAAGTCAGGGTGTAGCATATAAGTAAGTTGGGTCAAGAGGCTCAGAACTAAGGTTTCGAACAGCGAAGGCATTGAAGGCCCACCTTTTGCCGTGGTCCCTTTTTTATGGCCTGGAGAGCACATTTTTTTGGACTGCACAATTTTCTATGGCTGGATGACATTTTTAGACATAGGCATCTATGATTTACAAAGAGATGTAAACCTCAATCCTTACACTGAACATTATTGTCCAGGTCTTGGGACTTGAGAGCTCCAAGTGAAATAAACACTTGGTCAGTTGTCCCCTGCCACCTGCCTTCCTCTCCATTTCCAGGTGGGGAGCACACTTCGAAGCTTCAGCATGTCAGTAACTCTTGATCTATCAGTGGCATGAGGATGCCATCGGCCCCCATGATGGGAAATAAGTCCTTAAAATACCCTATTTCCTCTTGGTGGTCCATTGTCGACCTGTGATCCATGCATCTTTCTAAAACCCTCTTGAGCCCATTTAGATGATCATAATCTATAACCTTACAAGGACACAAGTCCCACGTAGTCAGCTGCTTTGTAAAGCAGTACTTCCATGTCTTTGAGACCTGAAACCTACTTCAGCAAAGCAGGATTACTCCTGGTATTTTGAGATCGGTACACCATTTCATTTTTATCCATTGAGATCTCAAAGATTGTACGGTCTAGAGCTTTATCTTTGTAATCTAGGCCTATATGACATTACCTAACTAATAGTCATGAGTGATGCATCTGAGGAGCTCAGGCCAAACAAAACCCCGCCTAGAGACTTGGATGACATTGCAGCCCATCCATCCCATCGATAAATCCTTGAAGCTTTAACCCTGCCCTCCTCCGCCCCCCCAGTTTACAATTCCCTCTCTTTTAAGAGAAGGATGGTGGAATTACTTTGCATTGGAATTAATGGTATAAAGAGCTACCTTCTCATCTGACTAATGCTAATTTATCTCCATCCCTGGCCATTTGCTACCTATTAGAAATATCCTGACAGCCTGCATCTCATTACCATCGCAGCAGGTCCAGCTCCCAAGAATAACCTTCTAAGGAGGATGAAATGTACGCCAGTGCATCTAATACCAGGGCATTCACATTCATATTTTTAGCAGCGTATATCAGTTAGCCCAACCTTTAGTGTACTGTATGTACTTTTAATAATCTCCATAAAAGCCTGATTTCCAATCCCTAGGCTCAAGCTGACAGTGTAAATAAAATCACCCAAATCCACAGGGTAAGAGAAATGAAAATGACAAGGATTAAAATTTGGTCAAACCTCTTTCTTTTAAAAAATTCTGCTTCCCTTCCAATTGAATCACGACCCTCTGTGTGCTCAGCTTAAGACCAGACGGTAGGCTTTCCCTTTTATTCCTCTCTGCAGCAGGCTTACAGTATTTAGTGAGAGTCTGTAAAGAATGTGTGCTGGGTAGAGAGTTAATACCATAATCCCCCATCGTTGAGGTCAAATGCCGAATAGAGCAAAAGAATTAGAAAACATGTTACATACAATGGCAGGAAAAAATGCATCCGCATGCTGTTCTGCGAACACTAGCATTCATCACCCACAAGTAATGGCCATGAGGTAATAGAGGGTATAAAGAGATGTGTACTTGAAGTCTAAGTGTGTGCACAGAGGCAGTGATGGAAGACTTGAGCACAAGTCTTAATACCCATATATTCTGGGAGTTATTTGTCACCATTTTTAATTGCTTCGTTCCAAGTACCTGCTTGGATTTAGTTCCTAAGTAACACATTTAGCCACTAAATTGTTTCACAGGGTTGAACCTTGAGCTATCTCTTTTCACTCTTCAGCAGTGGGTGTGAATATTGTTCTCAAAGTGCTGTAATACATCTGTCTCTGGAGAATTCTCTTAACGAACAAGTAGAAATTTGAGGCACCGCCGGCAAAAAGAGTTGAACAGCCACCTTCCATTGTATCTTGGGAAAGTCAACCGAACTCCACCGGAGTAAGATTACAGGCAAATAAATAACTTTGTGTGGAAATTCTATAAAAAGGAGTGTGTGTGTGTGTGTGTGTGTGTGTGTGTGTGTGTGTGTGTGTGTAAATGGTTTGGCCATAAAATGACAAGTTGAATTTATTTATTTTTATTTCAATGTTTTTCACTCATTAACAGTTGATTTTATTTTTCTCTTTCTAAAAAAATTTCATTCCCAGCCCCCAATCCCTCCCCTTTGGCAATCATCAGCTTGTTTTCTATATCTATGTATCTGTTTCTATTTTGTTTTGTTTATTCTTTTGCTTTGCTTTTTAAAATTCTCATATAAGTGAAATCATATGGTATTTGTCTTTCTTTGTCTGTCTTATTTCACTTAGCATAATGCCCTCTAGATCCATTCACGTTATCTCAAACAGCAAGATTTCATTCTTTTTTATTGCTGAATAATATTCCATTGCATGAATTTATTTTAAACAATATCCTTTAGAGTAGTAACTATTATAGGTTAGCACTTTAAATTTTCTATTTATTTTACATTTACATATAGTAAAGTTCCCTGTTTGGTGTAGAGTTCTATATTTTTGACAAATGCAGAGTTGTGTAAGCACTACCACAATCGAGGTAGAGAACAGTTCTAACACCCTCAACCATCTTTTTTACTGTTTCTTCATAGTCAAACCTTTCACCCCCAAACCCTGAAAATCATAAATGTTCCTGGATATGATTTTACAGAAGTATAACTTGCACAATTACCAGAGCAATGACTTGAAGTCATATTTTATTTGTATATATAACAACAAAATAACAAAACAACATCATCTGCACATTTTAAACAAGGTTTCATATATATATGTATATATATATATATATATATATATATATATATACTCTTAAATACATAGATAACTAGAAAGTCAACTTTCTCCAGTCATAAAAGGATTATTTATTGCTCAATCAATTCAGTGAGTGCAGGGACAGTAACCTAACCCACTGTTATATCAACATGAACAAAGCGCTTATTAAATGTATGTTGAATTGAATATTGACCCACAGTTAGAAAAATGATTTTTACACAAAATTTTAAAAGCTCATGACAACTATAACTAAAGATGTGACACTCCCAATGTTGTAATTGCACTTTAAAGTAGACAAGAAAGAGACATGAGGTAATGAGGAGGAGGAGAAAAGATACATGTGTACATGTATGTGAGATTACATCACTAATTCCCTAGTGGTAGAAATTGACTTGTTTTTGCACATGACCAATGCTGTATAATGTATATGACTAAGTGACTGAAAGCTAATGGCCTTAAGGAGAAAAGTATTAGGAAAATTATTAATTAAGGTTTATAATTATGTTTATGAGGATATTCTTGTTTTAACTTAAATGAGACACCAGAATTTATATGAAAATGCTGAGTAAAGTTGTATTCTAAGCAGGAAGTATAAGACATGTTATGAGTAATTCAGCCTATGGAGTAATTCAGCCTATCTCTTCCTTACAGGGTATATTGACTAAATTACTAAAGAAGTCTTATTTCAAGCAAATAAATCATTACTGTTTAAAACAAATATTAATATGTTCTTACTTGCATACATGATCTTATCTACATTTATTAAACTGAGGTCAACCTCTCAATCTTCCTCTACCTGATATTCCTTTTTTCACACTTCACTCATTTTCATGGAAGATC